TTAATCAGGGCATTAACAACCTGATTGTAAGATGGAAAAGCATCATCGATAAGAATGCAACTCACCAGTGGTGATACAACAGTTTAATTCCCCCAGTTAGGTTCTGAATTTTTCCAGCTGCCTCAGGAATAGAATAGTGAGTTGCTTGCTGCATAGAACTGCATAAGTTTGTCTCACACAAATATTTATAGGCAAAAGTTATGGAACCTCTTAAACAACAGTAACCATCTTGCATACATACTTCATTGTAACTATAAGTGAAACTCCATACATTCTACATGGCTTCCACATTATTATTCATTTTTTGTGAACAAAACTGAACAATATAAATTTCTGTATAACAAATTATTTTATACACTCCGTAAAAAATAACATGACCCCTCTAAAAAGTATGAATTAAATCAATTAAGAATTATTTATACATTAATGTAAATAGAAGTAAAGAATAATGAATGTTTCACGAGTAGGCTTTGATGATTATTTTTAGAAACAGAAGTAACCAATTAATCAACACTATGTCTTTCTCTTGCTATGCTAATATAGTTACCATACTTTTACATTCTATTTGTTTTCTTATTATTTTGGATATTAAATTAAACGGAAACTTTGTTCCAAACATTCTAGCTTGTTACTCTTCTGATTTCAGTGAGCTGATAATAGATCCTTATTGTTTGTAGATAATGGTGCTGTTATCTGGAGTTGTAGCCTTTCTGGTGAACCTGTCCATCTATTGGATTATTGGTAACACCTCAGCAGTTACGTATCCTTATTGTGTTACCATAAGTCAGTGAATTTTTGATGTATAGAGTTCTAAAAATTATGTTATTAGTTAAATTTAACTACAGATACTGATAATAGAGATACTGTAGGGTTGAAATTTGTAACACTACTCTTGCCTATTTTCATGAGTAGTGTGTTGTTTTTTGAGGTTTTTTCAGTGGGAGGGAGTAGTGAAATAAATAATAGATTACACCTGTACATCATTCTTTGATTATTTTCTTCACCAAAATTTGGTGAGGACAAGAAAAATTCACAATTAAAAATTAAAGATATTATTTATTATGGTAGAATTTCTAAAGATAATGGTTGACATATTCTGATTTGGTGCCTTACCTCTTTTCACACAATAGCTTCTTTTGTTCAGTGCTTCCCTCTATATCCACAAATGTTTTACTCACCACAAGCCTTGAAACTCCCACATACCCCATGTATAGTGTGGTTCTACTGCATCTTCGCATGTAAATAATTATACGACAACCCTCCACCAATAGGAGTGTGACAAACTCTCCTGATGCAGGTTACTCCCTCCATACAATTCCACCTAATCTTCAGTTCTTATTTAGGCATTATCCTGTTTGGACCTTACACAATTTTGCTCGTGTTTTCAACTATGCACTTAATTTTTTTTTACTTTGTTTCTTAACATAGTAGTTTGTTTTTGAAGCCACTAAGCATTTCAATTGTGGTTTTGAGTGAAAATAAATTTAACTGTTTTTTTTTAATCATTATTTATTTTTTTGTGTAATTGCCACAGTTGAGCCATGAATTCTGAATTTTGTGTCACGGGTGCCACTGTCATGACTACTACTACTTCGTCTGTCATTTCTCTGGCTTTAGGTTCTACACTTTCAGCTGAGGAGGTCTTGGCCTTAGGTCGACAGGAGCTTGCTTTCTGGAGGATTCTGGTTTTGACAGCAAAGACTTTTCAAACTTTTTCCTCCCCCATTGTATGCTATGCATTCCCATGTTTCACCTGTGGATGCTGCCAGGCCTCCTTCAGCCTTTTTGGATATAATTGCACGGGTATGTTACCTTTTTGTCTGTATCTCTTATCTTGTGAGACTTTGCTTCTTCCCTTTTACACATGGCTCTTTCATGAGAATACCCCCCCCCCCCCCAATCTCCAGATACCAGGGTCCATGCTAACCAGTTCCAAGTATTACGTGCAGGATCCAGCATGCCTCATCCTACTAAATCTTTGGATTTTTTTTGCTTTCACTTATCACCAAGGATATTTTTTTGCTTTTGCTCAACACCTGGAGTCTTTGCAAGTGTGAGGGTCTAATCCTAATTCTCTGGTTAGGTTCTCCCAAGCCCAATTTTTACAGATTCTGGCTGATCTTAACCTCTAACCTTAGATACCTGTCTACCATGCACCTCCTAGCTGAGGTTATCCACTGAGTTGATCCTCCAACTATGGTCTGATGCACCCTAGCCACTCTACACCATAGGGCACATCCATTTATTTTTCCCAACCATTATTATATTTGGTTGGGAACCCTCCATCCAGCCATCTACTGGATGTTGATTCCCGGGTGTATGTGTTTGGTGTTGAGCTGGACAAACCAACATGTATACGTTGTTGTATGATTTGCTCCAATTAATTTCCACCAAATTATGTGAGACTTACTTCCACAGTGACCAAAGAGTATACCTGGTACAGAAGTGGTAAGGTCTCCCATGGGTGATTCCTCTCACAAGAGTGTTCACACTACATGGGCATTTTTTTGTATATTCCCGAAGAGTGCTCATCAAGATAAAGTTTGCACTGATCCCTCTGCTATTTCAGTGTGGAATTCTAGCTATTATGTGAGGAGAGGTAAGATACCATATTGGAAGCTAATATTTTCCTACACTGAAAATATATATTTCTGATAGATACTTTCCTCACACTTCCAATGCTTCTTTTATGCCTAATCTCAACAAAGTGAAGGTTAGCCAGAATCATATAGAGGGAGTAACCTGTGTGAGGAGAGTTTGTCACACTCCTATTGGTGAAGGTTTGTCACATGATTATTTACATGCAAAAATACAGTAGAATCATGTAGAACATGGTGTATGTTGGAGTTTCAAGACTAGTGGCGCGAAAAAAAATGTGTGCATATAGAGGGCAGCACTGAACAAGAAAAGTTATTATGTGAAAGGAGGTAAGTACCTATCACACATATATATTTTCAATGTAGGAAAATATTGACTTTTGTTATTCGTCAGCTAAATATAGTTACATATAAATCCTATCATAAATTGTATTTATCTTTTATCTGATGTATTATTATTTCAGGTTGCTTATATTGTAGGTATTGCTTTCAAAATCCTTTAGGAATGGCAAATGTACCATCTATCAACACAATTTGAAGCAATTGTTGAAGCAATAGGTATCTTTAACAACTGTGGTTCAGATATAATGTTCTTGGACAGTTAAAGTTCTGTATGACTTTGATTGGCGGATATGTCATTTTTCATGATCCAATTCAGAGTGTGCAGTTTTTGGGAATATTGATGACATTTATTGGTGTTTATCTTTACACCCACATTAAGGTAGGTTGTTTAAAAGGCATTCACTTCTTCTAATGTAGATTTAGGTTTTTATGTGGGAAATATTTTTAATGATTTGATTTCAATTGCATGCTGTAGGAAATTAGCACATGCCAAAGCATTTGGTTCTTTTCCCTCCAATTATGGAGTCCCATTGCAATGTTTATCAGTGTGCAGTACAGGTAATGTGACACTGTCCCTAATTCTGAACAACTGGCTGGCAGCAGCCATATTTACTTTTTATTTTGTTATTACATATTAGTGTTTGTTATTTTTTAATATCAAATACCCAGTTTAAATAAAATGATTTTAATACTATTGTTTCAATTATTCTTAAAGTTAATGCATTTTGAATTTGATATTGGTTCACTAATATTATTAAACTAACTTAAAACTCCGTTATAGGTAATGAAAAGTAATTTTTGTTTGTTAATTTTGTTCCACAAGATATAGTTAAATTTTCTTGCAAAGTCCTTAGATTTGTGTTCTTAGTTCTTTAGAAAGCTTGATGTGAAATGACAGAATTATTCATGTTCTGTGGTACTCTCTTTGTCTTTAACAGCTTAAAGAACAACAACAGTCAAAGGGACTACCATTGCCAAACACACTCCCTGTGTCAGATAGACCCAGTAGTAAATAAGTGTGGAGTGTAATGAGATGATTTAACCCTAACATTATCAGCTTTGGCTAATAGCAACATCAGATGCGATACTTTTAATCAGGGACTACAGACATTTATCCAGTTCTCATACTATACTGGTCAATTTGTTTTTGTTTGCTTTGATGTTTACCAAATGAGAGACAAAAATACAGTGCTAAAAGAAAAAGTTAAACAGTCTTAATATAATGAAACATTAGGGGAGTTGTATAAACACAAACTATAATGAAGTTTTTATTAATAGCTAATAGGTAATTTTCAAGTATATTCAATACAGTGTATTACCTCAATTCCCCATTTAAATAAAAATAATAAATTTTTATTAGCAAGAAATACTAAGTTATTATTTTTTATTTAAGTAAAAGTAATTTCTCAAAATATTAAGCAAGTATTTTGCTTTAAATATAGACAATGTGTGGGAAAGATTTGTATCAAAATGGATGTAATCCATTTAGCTGGTTATGCTAGGGTTAATAAAGAAACATTTCTCTTTTTTTTCAGTGGGAACAGGTTAGAACACAGGTTTAGATGAGTTAAGTGTTAATTTGTGCACATTGTGTGAAATATTCTTGATATTTTTTAAACATTTGGATTGTGGGAAGCAATATACTGGAGGGAGAATTCCATAATCTTCTTGTATCTAATTTCCTTGTGATAAGCTTGTAAGTATACAGTCCTTTCTTGAAAATCATGCACAGTAGTAATGTTACACTTGTAAAAAATGCCATATCAGAGTGCCTTCATTGTTCCAATTCATAAACAAAATTAATACATCAATAATACTTTTTTTCTTCTTCTTACAATGTTGAAATTTTTTGTTGTTGATAAAATTGTTCTGTCATATAAATAAAATGACTTGTTGGCTCTACATATTAAATCATGATATGCCAATTTAATCAGGCAATAAATTGTTCCTAAGACATGTACAAGATCATTCGTTTAGATGAAGTGATAATTGATATTGGAATTTGTTTATCATATTTCAAAATCAAGGCACCTACCTGGTTGGTGCCTTGAATTTCCAGTCATTGATATGTATGTGGATAAATTGTTGTCTAAGTGTATATTATATATATAATGTTGCTTTAAAAACTTTTGATGGCAATATCTGGTGTTGTTTTTTTTTTTTTTCATTATTAAATTAGAATAATAATAATTGAATTTAGAGCCATATTTTATTTGTTTGTAAGAAAGGAACAAGAATTGTATATGCCCTCGAAGAACAAGTGAAACTCTTTTAACTTTCAGTGCTAAACCACATCGAAACTTACACCAGTGAGGAAGACATGGTAATATAATTTGAAAATGTGTGATGTATTTCCTTTTTTTTAACACATCATATACGTAGAAATTGTGCAGAGTTGATTGTTCATCTGTATAGATATCCATATAAAGCAGTATTTTAGGTTGGCTCTTAAACTTTGTCTAGAAAGTGAAATACTAGAAACAAGTATTTTAAAAGTATAAAAAGTCTTAATATATAGTCAGTTTTCTGACAGATAGTGGTCAAACTTACATACTTGGTATAATATAGAAATTTGTATTTTTGTTTCAATTAAATGTGGGTAGCTAGGTCTCGGTTGTTGCATTAAATATAAACCTTTCACAAAAATTCAAATTAAAGGAGTATAATCTATCCGTTAAAAATATTATCATGGTGTTTTACAATTTTTATTTAAAAAATAATGTCTACAGCTCTTCTTTAATGAAAATAGAAATAAGATTCTGATTTTTTTTTTATCTAAGTTATGCTAGCTCTCACCATTTAACATTTATTCTTGAATGTCCATGAAGGTTGTGGAAGATAATCACTCATTCAAAATAACTTAATATAATGATATATATCATTAGAGCTGGGCAATTAACTTGACTGATTACCTGTGAACATCAATTACACTGATTAGTGTCACTTAAAATAATCGATTAAATGAAATCACAATTTAATTGAATAAGGTCATGACAATAATCAACTGATTGAAATTAGTGTTTTTGATTGTTACTGTTTTCAATTATTCCAACTGTCCAAGTAATTGAAATATTGCCATTATGATTTCTTATTATTATTTTCCATTATTCAAGGTTGTTCAGCTTAATAAACTCTTGTAATGACTTATGAAAATAATCACCCATAGGGTGGCTGTTTGTGCTAGTAATTACTAATCGTAGGATTCATATGTCATTAAAAAAAAATGTATAAAAAGTGAACATTTTCTAAAAAAGGATTTTTTTTTCTGGGAAGTACTGCATGGGAAAAGTATTCAGATTGTGCTCTTTAGTCATATGCAACTCATTGCATCAAAATAATTCAAATTATTATAAAGAAATGGTTGTTGCACATTCCAGTTATTTTTCTAATTGTCTGAATTTTGAATACCCAAAGTGTGAAATTTTTTTATGGATTTTTGTTCATGTTGTCATTCAATAGATGGCGCCACATTATATTTATTTTGGTCACACACATAGATAGTTGTATACATACTACGTCCATTATAGTAAGATTTTCAACTATTACAGTTATTGAAGACTCGTATGAGAATGATTGATCAGTGCGATATAATCGATTGGTGAGCCCAATGGTTAATCAATTAACAGTTTTCACTAATCACCCAGCTCTACATATTGCAGCTGAAACATTGTTTATGACACTGTTCTTTGCCATAAGTTTGATACATTGGCTTATAGATTATTTTATATAGTCCATGATCCTGTAAGGTACAGGTATTCTGAAGATATGGTAGGTTAAAAAAAAATAAATATGATTATCATTTGGATTTTTCTCCAGATCTGATCAGGGTTTAGCTGAAAAAAAATCTATCTATTCTCAAACTGATGTCTGTGGACCTCTGAGGGTCTACAAGAGTACTCTAGTTGTCTGAAGTTTCTTAAAAATATTTGAAAAATATGATTTATAGCATAAAAAATATTTTTCTAAAAATACAAGTTTAATATCAATTAAAAAATTAATTATAAAATACACAGAATTTTTTAAACAAAAAACATCAATAGGTTTTGGGTCCACAAAATTTTTTTTAACTAACATGGATCCTCAAGTTAATAAATTTTGAGAACTGCTGATCTAGTACATTTTTTTTTCTACTATATTTTGTATTTGTGGTTTTATTTTTGAAACTTTTTCTAGTTTCTTATAATACATTAACACTGTTGGAGAAGTTTTTACTTTGTTTTGTGCCATTCTGTAAATAAATTAACTGAAACCAAAGTATAATAATAATACCAAAGCTATTTTTATTATTTGAATAAAAGCAAGTCTGAATGAAACGGATATTTGAATGACCATATAATTCTGTAAAATAAAATGAATAAAAAGATGCTTGCACAAGAAATCTGCATTCTTCCCCCCTTTTTTTACATCCATATTTCTTGCTGTAAAGAAAAGTACATCTTACTAAACATATAAATATCAATGTATGTTAAATACAAGTTCAATCAAAGCTTCATTCTAGCATAATCTACTGTTTTAACTGAATCTTTTTGCTGCCATCTGGTTTTTTATTCATCCAATAAGAAATAGTTGTTGTAATAGCCAGATGTTACATATACTTATATGGACAACTAGGAGCATATTAATATTGATGTGTAAACACTAGTTCAGAATATATGTATACTTACAATAGAAGATGAATCACTAATTTCTTCTGGAGAAGAATCTGTGAAAATATTGAACAAATTTTAAAGTTGACATATTTCCTTACAATTACTTTACAAATTTATATAAAGCAGTGGCTACTTATTCATGTGTAAAATAATAGTTGCAAAATCAGTGTATTCTACTAATCTGATGGTAATTCTTTGTGAATAAAAAAAAAATTAATTATTTAATTACCATGTGTATTTAAAAATAATTATTGATAACTGCAAGTTATCACTTGCCAAAGAGAAGGTTAAATGATTAGAATTACCTGATCTTTTGAAATGAAAACAATTTATAGATAATTAATATTCCTTGTATGGTTTACTTAAGAACCAAACAGCAGTATTCTTTGATAGATTGTTTAGGAAGAGTATTCACGATGAAACTTAGTTGAGTGTTTATTATTTTATAGATCTAAATGTGCATTTACTTTTGTACTGAGAAATTAATAATGAAATACTGTATACTACCTTCTAATGCATATTATTATCCTAAAAACTAATGTCTTTATATTCCTGGAAAGTAACATTTATTATTTCCTTAGCAACTGATATATTTTTTATACTAGTGAGTGCATCGTAGTGTTCATTACAACTTTTTTTATTGTAGCAACTATTACCTATTATTATCCTAGATACCAATATTTCTTCTCTTAACACCATTTTTTTCTTTTATTTAGTAGCAAAATTTTTATAGATTGAAAAAAAAACAGCAGCTTTGTAGTGAGGGTAATTCACAATTTTGCCAAAAGTATGCTGGGAGGAGTTTGTGCACATTTTTAAAAACATGTCAAAAGTCATCAGTTTTTATTAGTAAATAACTTGGAAAAGTATTGACCAGCAGTAAGTTTGCCTTATTTTGTGAATTTAAACACCCCTTTTTCTGTCTTCCAGACTAATGTCTAATATATCTCTAAAAGAAACTTTACCATTTCATATGTAAGCTTTCAGAGAGAGGTCACAAAAAAGGTATGTATTGTATGATTATGAAAATGGCAAAAACTGTGAATGACCCCTAAAATCTTACCTATGTAATTGGCAAGTAAAAGATGTGCATGACAAGGTGTGTGATTAATGGTTTTCTTTTTAAGTTTCAGTTATACAAAAGAGTAATACATACACGTTTCTAAATTTTAATACATAATTATATGTAATAACCATTTTAATATAAACTCAATATATTATTAGCTGTGTTAATAATGTGTATGGAGAGTTGTTCAGATTTCACAGCTAAAAGTTGTAAATAGAGACAGGCTTTATAGGGGAAAACAATTCTACATTTGCAAGAAGCAATAATATTGAAAATAACAATGAGTAGTCAAGTGATGTTGATGTTGACTTAATATAATAATTTACCTTAACTACATAAACCACAAATAAATTTTCATAACTGACTGTGTATTATTTAGTTGTTTAAACTTAAAAGTTAAAAAAAAACAATTTTTTTTTCACAGTTAATGTTTATCCAGTAAACATATATTATTTTCATTTTTACAAAATAGTTAAAACATCATATGAAAAAGTATAGAAGTCGGTATTACTATTAAAGTTTGTTGATGATATGTAGGACTTCTGCAACTAAAAATCTAACTAAGTTGAACATTTCATTTTAAAGTTGGTGACTGGTTTACATGAGGTTGTTTATACTGCCTATTTATAATGCTGCTATTTCAAATCGGACAGTCTTACCTCTGAAGTACTGTAGACCTTTTGTTACAAAATTTATTCTCATGCTGTCAACAAATATGTGACTCACAATTCTTAAAGTCATTTTGCATTGCAGAACATATCTCACCAATAACATTGGACAACAAAATTTGCTGCTGGAGAAAACTCAAGTGATTCGGGGCAGTTTGATGGTGCTGCTTTCAAAAATGTAGTCAGAATTTGTCCACCACTCTAGATTTTGAGTTAGTGTAATATCTTAATACTTTATCAGCACTATGTGAAATACCATGCAATCAATGCAATAAAATAAATTTATGCTATGAAATTAAGCTTACTTGAACAGTTTATTGGGTAAAAGGCATACATTTTTGGTAAATTTCAATACTGACAGTATTGTGGTGGAGTAAAATTCCAAATATATAGTTCATATATTTTATTTGTTCTCAGTATAATTGTAGCAAATTGCACCACTTTTACTTCATTCCCACACTCTCCTGCTCTGCCTTGGGAATCACAAAACCCTCATATGCTCAATTTGCTAGAACATTCGAGAAGTCCCTCGACTGAGCATAAAAGGAGCAGAGTCAAATGCCTCTCACTCACTCACTTTGCCACATTCCGCACCCAATCAAAACAAAGTCCGAGCTTCTTCCTCGCATCATACCCGCAATATAATCGAATTCTGTAAAACTTCGTTTTTTTTAAGCCTTTTAAACTCTAGTTCTGTAAGCATAAATCCTTTTATATTTTTTAGAAAGTAATTTGAAATGCTGGCTCTCTACAGTTCAAGTAAAGTGCAAAAATCACCCAAACAGTTTCTGCTACATTTGTGGAAAGTATATTACAGTTTCATGAAGGAAAAACATCACACACAAAGTAAAGTTAGCTTACTACCACTATTTTGGGTATAAATGCATAAAGGATAACCAGAATTTGAGTCCCATGTTTGTTGATAGCATGAGAGCAAAGTCCACAAGGAAAAGTAAACAGTATTTCAGAGATAGTACCTGTTTGGATTTAATTTTAATTCTAAAAGTTTAAAATTTTGCTTAAATTGTTTTGACTGTAAGTTGGTATTTCATCATGACCCTGCTTTAGTTGTTTTGATAGGAAGACAGTGTTTAATTGTGATCTTGTTTTTACTGTGAAAGAGTGTTTACTTGTGACCCTGGGTTAACTGTTTTTGCTTGAGGATGGCTTAATTGTGACCTTTAACTGTTTTGAATGTAAGCTGGTATTTAATTACAATTTGAACTTAAACATTTTCACTACAAGATGATTTATTAATTACTTTTAATTATTTTCATTGTTAGAGAGTTGAAACATTTCGTGTACTATAAATAATGTGTCTAAACCTTTGAATAAACACTATTGTGGTACAATAATTGTTATATTTAAATTTTTTCAATCTGGTTTAATTATTTTGACTGCATGGTGGATTTAATTGTGAATTTGGTTTTACTGTTTGACTTCAAGATGTTTGAACATGACAGTGATTTAATTCTCTTCATTGTAATATAGTGTTTAATCATGACCCTTGTTAATTGTTTTTTACTTCAAGATGACATTTTGTCACAACCCTAGTTTAATTGTATTGACTCTAAGATTACATTTGATTGTGAACCTGGTTTAACTGTTTTGACTGCAGCATGGTGTTTGATCGTAACCTTAGTTTCATTGTTCAGGGTAAGATCATAAATTATACTCTGATTTTGCTGTATCAATAGCATATTGACAGTTGGACCATAGATATCATGTCTGTAGTATTTCTGTTAGCTTTACAAACTCGTTTGAGGCTGTCATAATAAATTATAGCTCAGATATGTAATATAAATGCACTTACTGGCTTCATTTTCTAAAGGAGCATACTTCTCACTTTTTATAAACAATATTGGAATGTCTTTAATGGAGAGACATGGAGAAGAATCACAGCTAGGCTGCTTTGTCACTTCACTGTTGACTGATATATGAGATTCATTGTCTCTGCTAGAATCAGTATGTGACTGAAGTTGGCACAGGAAATCTTTGAAGCATGATGTATCCAACATTGTGGGTGTTCGGATTGTACCGTTTGGAGTTTTGCGTGAAATAACCAGGGAATTATGTAATGCCTCGCATCTGTTATTTCCACAGTTTAGTGATGCCTTCAAAGGGTCAAAATGTTGAGCTGATCTGTTAAGGACCGTTTTGTGATTTCGGGATCTAAAGATCTTGTATTTGCTTCCGGGTGATATTGTAGTTTTCTCTGTTATAGAGGGAGGACTGGTAAATTTACTTTTAGGGCTGATAGATATTTCTTTCCCAAATACATGTGATAGTAATTTTTGGGGTTTCTCAGCAGACATTGCTCTTTTAATTTTAAAAGTTTCATTGTCTGACATTTTTATGTTTTTAATGATCTGGCCAATTGTTTTTCTCCCTCTTTTTCTGTTTTGCTTAATAGAATGCTTATCATTATCATTTTCTTGAGCTAGTTTTCTCCGTGTTCTTGTGTGGATTCCTTCATCTTGTATATTCATAGGATGTTTCTCATTAGAAGCTGATTTAGGTGTTGTAACTTTTGTTAGATTGTTAACATCTTTACTGTGGCTGGGTGTTGGGTTATAGTTGGGTACTCGGGGGTATGGTAACACTGTAGCCACTGGAGATGGATTAGTCCACAATTTTTTTGAATTCTGGTGGGATAATGGAGAGATTAGGGAGATTGTTTGCTGCACAGAATGGTCCTATATTAAGAAAGAATGAAAATGAACACAGTCTGACATGAATATGACATATTATTAAATTTCACTGACTACTCACTGAAAACAATTTCATAGACTTTATTTCTTTTTTAGAAAGTTTGTAAAATGTTACTACCATTACAAAAAATTAAAATGAACATCTGTATAGAACTGCAGAACATGGAACAATCATCTTCTTAACATAATAAATTATTGAATGAATGATGTTAAATTTTATTGGCTGTAGAAACAATTGTCTTTCTTAGCCTGTTTTCAGTTTATAAAAGTTTAAATGCTGTTTTGAATATATTAGCTCCAAATACATCATGTATTATATTATTTAAGCACTCACAGAAGTTTTGTGTCACTAAATAATTTTTATTTTAAAAAGTTTAGTTATAAAGGAATCAAATATATATTTTTTTAATTTTGTGGCAATAATAGATGTATATGTATTTACTAATGCCATTTCTCTGATAAAAGAAACTGAAAGATAAGTAACCTTGGTAAGAAATCTTACTTGCAAAATCCTAGGTGTGTGGAAACTTGTAGCTGAGTCGGGTCGTCTCATACAATGCCAGTCTGGTGCATATCTTCTGTCAGAGTCTAAAAACTTATCTTCATCTATTACTTGTCTTCTCTCAAACTCTATGACTCTGTCACTATCTGCTGTTTTTCTTCTGCCAGAGCCTACAACAGTGTCTTCATATACTACTTGTCTTCTGTTTTCATCTGTTTGTCTTATTCCAGAACCTATGATCCTTTCTTCACCAGCAGCTTCACTTCTGTCAGAGTAAGTAGTTCGGTTTCTATTGTCAACTTGTATATTGTTTCTATCTGCTTGTGTTCTGCTATAGCTCCTGTGTGTTGCTTGGGGACTGTAGTCATGGCCTATAATATTGTCCATATTTGCTGGTGGTCTGCTATAGTCAGGACATATAATGCTTTCCCAGTCTACTGATGGTCTTCTGCATTCAAAACCTATGATACTGTTTATATTTATTGCTCGTCCTTTATACTCAGAGTCTATAACTCTACTTACATTAACCATTGATCTACTGTAACCAGAGTCTGTTGATCTTCCTTTATCTTCTGCTATATTTCCGGACTTATAGCTTAAAATACTATCCTGATCTGCTTCAAATCTGTTATAGTGAGAGCTCTTGTTTCTTTCATCATCTGTAGTCAGTGTTCTGTAGTCAGAGTTTATGACCATGTCCTGATTTACTTCCAATCTGTTATAATCAGAGCTTTTAGTACTTCCCTCCTCTATAGTTCTGTAGTTAGTGACCTTAGGTCTGTCCCCACACATAGCTGATTTGACATTATCAGAAACTTGGACATCACCTGCTAATGACCTCTCAGAGTCTGAGCCTATGATGGTGACTCTGCCTGATGTTGGTCTATTACTGAAGCGAGATGAGTTAAAATAATTAAGTAACAGGGCTTTCATTTCATCCAAATGAGTTTTCAAGATTGTGTCTGTCTCTTTATGCAGTGCTTTGTTGCTGATGTGTTCCAAGAATTGTTGGAGTATGTCTTGCTGATCATGAAAGTATGTCTTTTGAGCTTGTTTCTCTTCTGATAGTCTTTTTTGTATTACCTAGGGTGTGGTTGAAAGAAATACAATATTTTGATGGGTAAAACTTTCTAAACTGATACTGTAGGCTGAAGTTCTTTGTTATAAAGCAAGTCACTGTAAACCTTTTACTCTTCAATAAACCAAAACTAGAAAATAAAGAATAAACATAACACTTTATAACTTCCATGGGACAACCTCATATTTTATCTTCACTCAATTATTGGTCATAACTTGGTTTGTTAAAACCACAAGTTATCAATTTGTTTTAGTTGAATCTAAAATTGAAGACATTACTCTGTTAATATTATAGTTTCATATTATTTATGTAATGGTGAAAGACTGTCAAAGTAGTCTAGAAAATCTTTTTTCAGTATGTTGCACATAACTATCTTTTTTCTTCAAAATTCATTATATTCATTAAACAAATTGAACTTACTTGAAATAGTTTTTCAGTATTATTAGAGGTCTGTTCTATAGCTGACTGGATAGATATTCCAATTTCTCCCTGCTTTTGCAGGTGACAAGTGATGGCAGAGCCTGTTTGCTCTATGATGTCATCCTTCATCTTTCTAGAAGAGTCGTGTAGTACAGATAAAACAAAACTGATAACCGTATAGAGATGACTTTGTGTGGTGTTATACTTTATCTTTGTAGAAGTGTCAATCAGAAACAGATAAAACTAGACTACTCTAACACTGATACTTTGCTTGGTGTCATCCTTCATTTTTCTAGAAGTGCCTTGCAATAACAGATAAAAGTTGGACTGCTCTAAAACTGACAACTATAAAAAGAGATGACTTTGCTTGGTATAATCTTTTATCTTTCTAGAAGTGCCTTGCAGTAACAGATAAATTTAGACTACTCTAAAACTAATAAACATACAAAGAGATAAATTTGGCCCTGCAGGAGTACTTAGGCTGAAAGTTAAAAAAAAACCTTTAAGGGTTATTCTATTCATTTCAGACTTTGCACCATTATATTCTTTTTGCTTATAAAACTATTTTAGTTATTCCTAAGTCAAGCATTCAGAATTTTTTTTAATAAGAATAGCTGCTTTCATGGTTTAATAACAGTCTGGTTTGTGTTTCAAAAACTTGTGTGTAAAGACCAAAGGTAGTATCATTAAAAGAGCAATACAAAAGATTAACAGTTATCTACCTCCATACTATTGGTATTTTTCTCATGCAACTGTATAAACTATAAACTTGAAGGATAAAAATCACTTACTTCCACAAACTAGTTACCCTGCTTCCTCAGTATGAATATTTTTCTCCTACAATTAGCATTTTTAGATAGCTTGGCAAGAGTTTAGTTACATGGCACTCACAAAATGCTTTAACATAACTTACTGTGACTTACACTACTTACAAAGGTTTCAAATAACTTTTGTGTAAATAAGGCAAAACCTATATGAGATACCTTTTTTCTTTTAGTGTCTAGTTACTGAATTTAGGAAACTGTAAGCTAGTGATCTCTGAAAACTTACACCAACAAAGCTGTTTGTTCTTTCTGCAAAGTGTCCAGTTTTGTTGTAGTAATTTCTTCCAGTCTGGTACATATTTCTTTCAATGTTGTAATAATCTCTTCTTGTTGTTGTTTTAATTCTACTGCAGTAACCTCTAGTTGCTGTTTTAGTTCACAAACCTCTTTCTCTATCTTCTGTTGGGACTGTTCATTCTAATGTTAAATAATTTTCAAACTCGGCAAATAGCATTGTTAAAGACTTTGAACTTTTCAACTTAATGCAAAATAAAAAATAATATTTGTAAAACACATATGAATAGGAAACCTCAAACCGTAAGTATTATAAATGACGGATATATTTAATAGATGTCCTCAATACTTAATGAACCACACTTTAGCTTGACTGAATGAAAACCAGTGAATAACAATAAACTAAAAAAAATTATCAACATACACGAATTGACATTGTGTAACATAGTGCTGTTGTAAGACATGTTTTGTAGCTAAGGTATGTTATAATGAATAGAAAATGCTGAATATATGAAGAAAACAATTCAATTATTGATCTAATGCAGGACTTAGTTTATTCGAAATATAATATTTATAAGATATCAGGCTCAAACGTTAGGCTGTCAGACATTTATGATTCTGAAGAAAAAATTAAAAAGTTATAGTTACCAAATGTGCAATGAAGCAGTTTTAGATGTTACATATGTATCTAAGTCTTTGATCACTCCTGGTTTTTGTATATTAATTCCTTTGTTGAAGATATGAATGATGTTTAGTGTACCTGTATACTGTGATGGCAGGAAAAATATTTCACCCTTCTAAGCTAAACAAGAAAATATAGTATTTTCTCAAATACAAAAAACTTTTACAAGTTTGTAGGAGGCTTATTTTCTTTGAATATGAATAATGGAAATGATCATTGGCATAGGCTAGGGTTGGGTTAGTGTATGTATTAGTGACAAATTACATAGTATTTTGAGTGTTGCTTCAAGTACACTGAACACAAGTTATCAATGGAAATGTTTATCATTGCTTTATTAACTGAATGTGCACAGCATAAGTCTATTGGACTGACTCTATATTGGTAAAGGAATGTTGACTATAATTCCAAATATAATGTGTGTTCTTACACAAAATGTAGCAAGCCTTTAGCACAATGTATCTGTTTTTAAAAAAAATCAGAAGTATTACAAAAGTATTTGTACTCAAGATATGTCTGTGAATTGACAACATCATGTCTGATAATGTGAAGAATAGAAATACTTTTATCCATAATACACTTTACATATTGTATGTGGCCTGGCATGGCCAGATGGTTAGGGAGCTCGACTCACAATCTGAGGGTTGTGGGTTCGAATCCCGTCACACCAAACATGCTCGCTCTTTCAGTCATTGAGACATTATAATGTGAAGTTCAGTCCCACTATTCGTTGGTAAAAGAGTAGCCCAAGAGTTGGCAGTGAGTGGTGATGACTAGCTGCCTTCCTTCTAGTATAACACTGCTAAATTAGGGACAGCTAGCGCAGATAGCCCTTGTGTAGCTTTGCGCAAAATTCAAAACAAACAAAGATAATGCATTTACATAATCAATAGAACCTTCAAAATGCATATGAACAGTTTTTTCAATATAGCTGTATATTGTATCTGGTATTTACCACAAACTTTCACGAAATCAGCAATGTAAGGTAAAATAAATAGTCGATAACTCTTAAATCAACATTCTGTAAAAGTTCATTGAATGAACACTCACCCCCACTCATGCATATAGTATATTAATGTTTATTTGGTATTAAATAATGGGGTAATACAGCAATAGGTAACAAACATTAAGTATTACCTTAAAATTAATGAAAATAAACTCTATTTTGAGCCTTTTATTTATTTATTCAGTTTTTGTCTGGTGGTTTGTGGGCTGATCAAACTGCCTCATGAGACCATTGCACCATGTGGAATGTTAATTGGGCAATCCAGACGCAGGTAATCTATGATTGTGAGATACCTTATTATGACTTTGGTCTAACTCAAAAAAAAAGTGGTATCATTATGATTATGATTCCTGTCTTTGTCTTGTGCAGATATTTTGCTCTCCTGCTCCAGCAACCAGAGAAACCAATATAATGAGCAGTGAAGGTGGTCAGTATTGGTAAAGACCTCAGAATATCTGTACTTGTGAATAAGGATTTTCTTGGTTTGTTCACTTGCGTTTATTTTGCTGTCCATGTTTATTTTATACTCTGCATAACATTTCTAAAACCTGCTGTATTGTAGGTGCAGTGTACTGAAATACCACATACATCTCAGATGTATACTTTTTTAGACTTTTTCTAAACTTCAATTTTCAGCTGATCATAGAATGGGTTTCAATGTCCAGTATAAGCTAATGTTTCTTCTGCAGCAGCTTTAAAAATTAAGAAATACAAAGCTTTCTAAAAATATATCATCAAACAATATTATTAACACATACTTTTATTAACTGCTTTATTATATCTTGCAGCTGATAATTGTGTGATAAATAACTGGTAAGGAAAAAATTACATATAAATAATTCCTAGATTAATTGTTTATTAATCGTTTCCATGCACTTATAACTAAATGCTTGCTGTTAAATTATTTTTGTGTATTTTTGGATTAAATTATTTTGAGTCTGCAATTAGTAATATTTATCATATTATTTATAATATAAATATTTATCACATTACAGAGATTAAGTTATGTAATATTTTTCTCTCATCAACAAAATTAAGAATTTCTATAAACCACAAACTTGAAGCTAAATCTAGCATTTGATATACTACTTGTTAATAAATTAGACCAGTTCTGGGAAATATCACCCATTATCTGTTACCGTGGACAAGGACAAATAAAAAAAAAAAGAAGTTGAACCTCTTATAGTCATTATATGTTAATCACTATATAAATTCAGGTTCACTGTGGTGAGTAAAAACCAGCTCAAATGTCATACACACATAATTATGTTTATGGTTTTGGATGATAAAAGTCACATGGTAGGTGAGATAGATGTGATTCTTGTCTTGTGACTACTCCATTATGAAACTGGAATTCAGTTACATATCTAGGAAAAACTTGAACCAGCTAACAAGTATTATATTTAATTGTTATTCTTTCAGAAAGGCTATTGAAAGTATGCATTTTTAGTCCAGTAAACATCCAAATCAAGTGCACTATTCACACTCCTAAATTATATATGACTGTGATTATTCTCATTACATAACAGGTAGATTAAGTCCTAACTCATTCTAATCCATATAAACCTTTTTACCATACCTTCATAATTACCTACATCCACTTTGCACAGCCATTAACTAAATGCAGCTCACTTGTGTGAAAGTTTGTTTTTAATATTACTGAATAATTGTAGCAGTTGAAACACTGCTTTATTTCACCCTGTCATAAGGTAGAAAATAATATATGTTTATTCTAGTATATTTGGAACATCTTTTTAAAAATATTTCATGCAGGTGTTGTGCATTTAGTAAACATCCTTGTGAATAGGATATAAATAGTTGTAAATTTTAGGCAAGTTAATCTTCTCTAGGATGTATGAAATAGGAATGATCATCGATATAGGTAATACTTCACTAGGAAAGTTGGTCTGACTCAACAGCGTGGCACAGCCATAATCCTTCTGCCTTTTGTCAAGTTTTAACACAATTTGTCTGCTCTTTGTTGAGTGCAGAAGTTTAATTCTTCTCAGCTTCAGCATTCAGTAAGACTACTAGAACCTATAAGCCAGCCATTATTGAACTACTCTCAGCACTTTAGTCGTATACAACAAAGATTTTGTTTCTTGTGTTGTACACAATTGTTTGAGGCTTTCATTTGCTGTTCAAGTTCATTTTATCTTTTTAAATACATCTCCTCCATAGCTGCATGATGTTTTTTCTGAGTATAATACTAACCTGTTGAATCCAGTTTCACCCAAAAATGCCACTGACATTTTGGTATAATGACCACAAATTTCATTTTATGGAGTTTAATTTTGTATGTTTGTTTCTTCCCAGATGGCAAGTAGACGTTGGCCAGTACATACCATTATGTTGGATGAAAATTTTTTGCTCATTGGCTGGACAACTATAGCCAAGAAGAAGCAATCAATATTTCCATTTTTGGTATCAATTATCCAGGTTTGTTCAATGCCTACCCACTCTAAGCATTCACTTCTTTAACTGTTGGCCCAACATTTGACCAAAATATGTGGAGTACTGCACAGCTTGCTAAATTTTTATAGAATGCTGTCATTTGATAAAATTTTAATAAATATTACCCTGTGCTTATTAACTTTTTTGTTGAATGTTGCCTATAGTTACCAGAATATTTTGTGGTATTGCACAGGTTCGATCCTGGCTTGCCAACTCCAAAACCAAGAGCTCTATCACAGGACTTGTCATGAATATAAGATGCCACATCATCATTATCGTAAACTCGTACATTACCTGCTGCTACTACAGACAATCTGTAAGCTCCAGTCCGCTTGTTAATTTAGTATAACAAAACATAGACATACATTATCAGTCTTTAATAGTACAAATTCATTAATTCAATTAACAAAGGTGTTGGAGTGGCATGGAAAAGTGATCCCTACAATAGACTGTAACTGAGAAGTGTTAAATGCATTTAAGATAATATCCTAGAATAGCTAGGAGGTTTAAAATAATGGCCTTACAACTTCTAGCATTTCAAACTTAGACAGTATTTTTCTAAGTTCTGTTATTTTTATTTTATACTTGTATGTCATTTCTCAAGATAAAAGGATTTTAATAATGATGATAAGAAGAAGAGGAAAAAAGACCTTTTTTCAAAAAACTCTACATCCATAGGTTTACAAATTACACCTCTTTATGTATAATTTCTTTTCTAATATTAATTAATAAGCTGATATTTTAAATAGGTATTCTTTAAGTTCTTGGACCAATGACACCAGAACATTGGGTTAATTTTGAGCCAACAGTTAAACAAAGTTGATGCTTACATTAGGAAAAATGATAAACCAACACACTGGCTCAAATAAGAAGTGATGTGCAAATTGCTGTTGGGCAAGTGTAACTGGTAATACTGGGCCAATGTGGTCTGCTATCTGAATTTTCAGCTACCCAATAATTGTTTACATGAGAGTAAGCCAACAATGGGACAACATAGCTTTACCAATGCCAATATTGGTCCAACATTGGTTTGTTATCTGGCCATGGAAGGGTAACTTATAATATCATGTAAACCTTGGTGGAGAGGAGGAAGCTGCAGTTGAAATGAAGACATAAACTTAGAGTGCAGTAAGATCTAGGAGAGACCCTCTCCTGGATCAAGGGCTTTGCTAGTCATGGTAAGAGCTATTTCCTTGTTCTACTGATAAGAAAGTTAAAAGAGCATCTATGACTTTCTATAGCTGCAATAACCCAACCAGTATTATTTTCCTACAATATGCAAAAACACAGGGTAGCAAAGATGGTTTATGGTGGCAACATTCAGTCTGTATATCTTGAGGATAACTAGGTTGACCTCTGTAGGAATTCTAGATGTTTATGGACTGTTACAGGCATTACTCATAAGGTGAATAATGTCTACTAAAAGGAGCCATGATACTGCTAATTGGAGCAGTCAGTATCTCAGCATGATCCTGTAAATACATTGAGTTGATAAGTCGTCCAGCTTGGTAAGGCATGATGTTAATACCTTGATATCACATTCTGCAATCATGGTTAATGTAGAGGGCAATCATGATGCATATCCCTCTGTATCATGATGTTCTGTTGCTAACTTTACCAGAACATGCATTCTGGAATTGAGAATTAGAAGAGTGACTCTTGAGTACTGACAATGTCTCGGCCAAACAGTAGTAGAGACACTTGCAGTAGTTGCCTGTCTACACCACTGCCTTATATTGGCATCATGGTGAAGCAAATTAACCTGACAAGGTATAATGAAATGCAAAAAAGTGTATGGACTATTTACTAAAATGATTCACACAGGTTTTTCTTATGGAAATCGGACAATGAGTACTGAATCATCTGTCCTAGAGTTCACCTGCTCCAGGACAGATGATTCAGTGCTCATTGTCCAAATACACTCAGGAGTGGAGCAGTTAAATGACTGGGACATGTTTTTTTTTCTCATTTGCACTGCTGATTTTACATGCATGTAACCAAAACTCCTGTACCACTTACATACAAACAAAAATCCATAAAAAATTTCACATCTGGGTATTCAAGATTCAGGCAATTAGAAAAATAACTGTGGTATGTGCAACAACCATTTCTGTATAATAGAACACAATTTTAAATAAAAGTACTCTATTCACAACAATAACACGACTATCACTAGGACTGTATGTGAGGGTTTGATTAGTTCGTACAAAAACTATAATTTTTTTCAATAAATGGTACCACCTTTAACATATAAAACATTACAGTTTATATCAGTAAAATTTATGAAAATTCTGACCTCTACACATTGAATTATTTTGATGCATTGAGTTGTGTATGACTAAAGAGCACAACCTGAATACTTTTCCTTTGCAGTACTTCCCAGAAAAAAAAAACCTCTTTTTTTTTTTTTTTAAAAAATTTTTTTTTTTTTCTAAATTTTTTTAAAAGGGGTACTACAGTTAGTAATTACTAAC